CTAATTTTTTCAAAGGCGCCGCGAAAACAAAGTCGAGTTACGAGAGAAACACAGCAGCGAACAACGCAATCGTACCACAGATATAATGACGGACACACTCACACTGAAAACCAGTACGATTGCTCGTACCGCCTAGGGAGGGGACAGAGTGTCCCGTCTCTCCCTGTGTCTCATCTCACCCGGACTTACCCTAATATATTTTACATAAAATTATATAACGCCTTATATACATATATTATATACATGTATAATATATTGTATATAATATAATATAAATAATATATAATATATAATATAATAATTTACATAATGAAAAACACACACGGAAACGCGAAATTGCTGAGATGTTCTTCATAAAAAAGCAAAAGAATGCTATCAACTTAAAAAGAGACACTGAAAATCTAAATCCTGTGTATGATAAGGTGTTAGAACACATGTAATTCTGTATGTATTGTTTATATTAGGATTTATCGCGCACTCATTATTTTGCACATTCGTCTTATTTATTTTGATACCCTAACAGTTCAACCTGATTTCTCTCGTCCAAGACATGTCACATGACAACTGTATTTGTCACTAATTAGTTCGATCCGACATCTCGACGAACACACTCGACATTTTTACTCGTGCCACAAAATTAACAACGCAACCAAAATTGACTTTGCACTTTTCAATCAAAGAGTGCAATCATTTTTTTACCAACATGTAAGTGTATTCATTTATTTCATATTTATTTCTATTTAAGATCGATTCAGACTATACGACACGGACCATGACGTTCCGGCAACGACACGGACCGGCACCGACACGACAAAATATTGAAATATGCGTTTTAAATGAGACTGTCTACACTAACCGACATTGACCTGCATGTTCCGTCAATGTCGGTTAGTGTAGACAGTCTCATTTAAAACGCATGTTTCAATATTTTGTCGTGTCGGTGCTGGTCCGTGTCGTTGCCAGAACGTGACAGTCCGTGTCGTATAGTCTGAATCGACCTTTATTCTTATTTATTCCTATTTATTATTATTATATCCACTCTTGACATTTATTACTTCAAAACAAAGTAAAGTGTAATGACTCTCTTGCTTGTATGTACACAGCTTATTAACATAGCGATATTGGCTAAACGAGCTATAAGTGATTAATGAAAATTGCGTGAAAAGGTATAGATTTGCAATTTGCTTTTGCTATAATTATTTGCGCCATATATTTTTTATTATAACAAAAAATAGTGTTAAGTTATGTATGTTTGCAGAATACTTGAGAAGGGTCCAAATCCCGGACCGAAACGTCGTTAGTTTTTTAAAATGATAACATTGGCCAATGTAGGTCGTTTCAATAAACTATCATTAGAATAAGATAGTGTAATAAATAATAAGAAATTTCATTTAAGAAATTTAAGATGACCTTAACGTGACCTTGATAACGCTATTCAAGGTCATACTGATATTACTATGTAATACATAACTTAAAACTCTACAACTCTTGTCTGAAACATTTTCTTCTGGAGCTTATACAATACGTTTTGAGATATTTGAGTGGATTCATTAAAATGAGCTCCCTTGTATAAGATATTTATATATTACGTGATAAATTTAAAATATGTAATTCAAGTCATTCTTTTTTAACATATTTAAAATATTATAAAACTGTTTTAAACAAAAACACAATGTTTCATTCTTAACAAGAACATTATTTTTACCAATTTTATTACTGACGATATCTTATTGATGTCCGTCATATTGTCAACGAGTGCTGAAATTAATTTCTGATTTCTTATATTACAGCATATAAATTATAAGATTTTTTTTAAAACAATGTCTAGAAACATTTTCGATTGTAAATAAATTGTTTTAAAAAAGTAATATGGTCAATCGCTTCGTTCTAACAGTTATATCATAAATAATAATTTTTTTTCTTTTAATTTCTTACTCATACATTTTACATTATAGTGCATTTATCCCTTTCAAATCTGCCTATGTGAAAAATACATGCATACAAATGAATCGGGTTCCTTGAGAAACACCATTTAGAAATACATATATTGTTGCTATTTTCGCAGCCGTCGGATGGCGCACTTAAAAAATCACGACTATCGTGAATTTCAACGCATTGATATTTTTACCAGACTTCGTTAAAAGGCATCAGTAGTATATACTTCCTATGAAATCACGCCGATTGGCTCGCCGCTAAAAATAAAGATACGATTCGGGAGGCTATAAGTCGGTTCGTTATTGTACAGAATGTAAATATTTATAGAACTTCGAATACATTTAACTCCACACTGGAAATCTCGAAGGTTCCCAAACGAGTATCCGTGCGCATAACCGTACATTTGTGGATACGAAATACCATTGACACCTCGCTCTCATTTTCATTTCGTCGCACGTCTTATCCAATTCGACGCCTTTTCTCTAAAATTAAAATTGAACGAAAATAAATTACACGCCTGCAATCGCGATCAATCAGACACGAATAGACGGCAAACTCGAAAAGTGGAGGAAAAGATGGATTATTGCTCTCGAGCCATTTGTTACAGAGATAATATAAAAAATCAATCCCCAGCTTTGTAAATGTCAGTTCTATGGAAAACTTGTTGCGGACAGACAAAAACATCTTTGAATACCAAGTGGAAGATTCATGAAACAATAAACGAGCAAAAACATTATAGTGAGAGAGAGAGTGAGAGAGAGAGAGAGAGAGAGAGAGAGAGAGAGAGAGAGAGAGAGAGAGAGATTGAAACAATATAATATGATTTATTGATGTCTATCATGTACCATAGTTTGGAGAATATTTCAAGTTTTATCGAGCTTTCATCAGCCACGATAATGAAATTGATAATAATAAGCGAAAGAGTTAGTGCCAATTAAATGAAAATACATATAAATTAAAATATTAAATGTTTATTATCTGTGTCTTATTATTGTTAATTATGTCTGTCTTATGTCTGAAGAAAAAAGACTTTAATCATTCTGGAGACAATGCCATCTTTATCTTGAGGACTCACCAGCCCACCAATTGCGGTATAAAGCATCAGGGTGATCAGCAAGCCCACATGACCGCCGATTGATTTGACTTTCCGCACCGTTTCTTTCTTGATAAATTGTCTGGTACTTTCATCAGATTTTGTCGTGGCACCGATCTCAACTGGTGAACTGCACGTGTTGCCATTTTTCATCACGAACGTGCTTTCTACGAGAGATGTAGGCGCGCCGACCATACGAAGAGGACTGATCGGCTTGCTCTGCCCCGCAATCTCTCCCTCGAATCAAGAACCATGCTATATTAACACGAATTAAAAATGTATAATATAAAGTAATCAGACAAATCAATTAAAAACAGCAAAATAATAAATTGTGTGAATAACAACAAAGAATAAAATTGTGATAATAAACACGATAATAAACTTGTGAAAACTTGTGAAATCTGAAGAGAATGAAGAGTGGAAGAAATGAAAATAGACACCCAGCAAACTATAATGCAACTTATCCATGTGGCATAATATTAAAACAATATCACAGCAATATTGCAATATGTGGGAAATATCGGTCAAACTAGGAGACATATTACTACACAAATAAACGAACATCGCAGTGATATAAAAAAACCGACTAACAATCACTCGGTTGTTAGCAAGTATCGTAATCTCGTTGGACATGAATTTGATTGGCTTAATCCGGTAATTTTACACAAGGAGTCACACTATAAAAAACGAGAAATTGTTGAGATGTTCTACATTAAAAAATCTTTTGATCATACGACCAACTTACAACAAGACACAGATAATCTAAGTTCTATTTATGACAAAATTGTACGTACTACTTAATCTATTTATTTACTTATTTATATATACTACTAAAAAAGGGTACACTTTTTATACCCTACAAATTGGGCTATTTTCAAACCACTGAAACTCGGCAAAAAATCATCATATAGGCACAAAATTAAAAAAATCATTTTAAAGCTTGAAGTTTCAACTTTTAAAACCCTATCAACGATTTATTTAAATAGGTTCATCTTCATCGTTCTGTGTTTTAAAAAAGAATACATTGTTTTGTTCCTTAAAATTACGTATATTTGACACCCAGCAGGTCGATAAAAAATTTTCTCTCGACAAATTCGATACAAGTTCCACAATCTACAACATTTTATCTATAAAATGCTTTTTTTTTTAATTTTCCTACGATATTTTTGGACCGAGTTACATGACTTTGAAACGAACCATGCATTTTCTTGAAAAATGATGTTTACTGCCAGTATTAGCGTTACCCAATGTGCACCACGTGGAGGTTGCCGGTCGGATTTTGCACATCGTGTGTGTGTGTAAGCGTGTGCTTTGCGTGTGCGTGTACGTGTGCGTGCGAGTGTTTAGTATTGTGTATTACCTCCTCTCTGATGAATTACCGCGGTAAACATCATTCCCTATTTTTTTTTTAGTAGTGTAGTTAGTTATTTATTTTAAAAAATTGTTTCATTTTCTCTCCCCGCCCCCCTCCCAAGTATCTTCTCTACAAAAGTAATGATATCATCAAATGGCGCCAACTAAACTAAATATTTATACAAACTAGGTACTTTATTACTTTTTATATTAGAATGTTATATCCAAACAATATCAATCATAAAATTTTATCAGAAGAAATAAAGGAAATAATATCAATATTAATAGGACTTCCGTTTCCGGTAGCGAGACTGAAGTTGTGTATGTGAGAGGGAGAAAATAGAGTGTGAGTGCGAAAGGGATAGAGAGTAGTAGGAAGGGAAAGGGCGAAGGGAGGGAGTACAGCAGTGTGGAGTGAAGTGGAGGAATTGGAGGAGAAGGGCGGGAATAACCCAGACAGCACAAAGACGTTTTAAAGACGTATTAAAAACGCACATGTTGGACGTTACGTACACGGAAAAAAATGATATGGTGCACATAACCAGAAGTATTTAGTTGTAAGCAATATAGCTGCATTATCCTAGTTATCTTTATGCAATGATTATGTGTATGATTGATATGACTTACAAGGGAACGGTCGGAAGTGTTCCTCACCGATTTCAATGAGCTTTGGATATGTTGTAGAGCATAAAAAAGTATTAGACCCGTATTTTTTTTATCGGCTTTACTCGACGTTTAGGGGGTGAAACAGCCCCTCGAAAATAACGGATTTTTTCATTTTTTACGAATATCTTCGAAAATATAAGTTTTATGGAAAAATGTTTTAGACAAAAGTTTTATTGTTTTTTATACTCTTCACAATGGCGTAATCACATTTTTCAACAATGTCAAATTTTTTAATTTACCTCCCCACCCCACCATTATTTTTAAAAAATTAAAAAAATTTTTTCAACGCAGAAGTTTAAGAGCATCAAATGACAATTATATCCATGTATATTTTTATTATGATACGACGATTTGATTTTTGGGAAAATCAGATGTATGAGGTATAGGCGTCGCGTTGTAAGTAGGTGTTGTGTTACTCCTTTCCAGTTGCGGTAAAATATGTCGTATGACGTATTATGCTGTAAAAAATACGTTAAAGATGAGATATCACCGATATCTTTCGTAATATTGCACATCAGGTCAAGTCAATCAATTTAAATCAGTATCGAAGTGAATCAATAATAAAAACGTAGATTTTCTACGTCATCTTGCGCTTAAATCATTCGATCCTATTGCGCTGAATGTAGCTGTTATACGTGTTAGAAAATTTAGCAGAGAAGAAAATAAAATTAATTTATATGGAAAGTTATAAACAAAATAAAAATAAATATAATAAAAGATTACAAATTGGATTCAAGATCATGGTAGATTAAAATAAAGCTGCAATTAGTAAATTTAAAAAATACAGATTTTTATTCTATTTGCATATGTAATATGTATTACTAAAACAATATTAGTAACAACATAATATATTTTAATATTTCAAAATTTGTATTACATTTATGGCACACATTGCATAGATGATGCTCATGGAAAGATGTCTTTTTTCCGAATGTCGGACCACGATTATGTACTATTATTGGATTCGTGGAGTGGACACTGTCCCAACATAATTTCAGAAACAAGACCAGATTCTGCGACAGATATTATTTTCTTAACTATTCCGGCCGGTACGACGAGAAAAATACAACCATTAGATGTATACGGCTTCCGATTATGGAAACATTTTATTAAATATTTTTCCGATACCATTATATTGTTAGATCTTGCAATAGATCTCCACGTTAGAAATAATATTTTGAAATTGCAATCATTAACACGCAACCAATTTTCGTCGCCCAGGTTTCAAAATTTATTCAAATTTAAATTTGCGTGGTTTAAAAGTGGGTATATACAGAATAAACCGAAAGAATTTCAAACATCAGTTGAATTTTGTTTCAAATATTCATTCAAAATTAAAATGCGATATATGTGACGGAATTTCTGTAATTATTTGTTCTTGGTGTAAAAAATCGCTTTGCATCACACATTTCTTCCATGAGCATCATCTATGCAATGAATATGTGCCATAAATGTAATACAAATTTTGAAATATTAAAATATATTATGTTGTTACTAATATTGTTTTATTAATACATATTACATATGCAAATAGAATAAAAATCTGTATTTCTTTAATTTACTCATTGCAGTTTTATTTTAATCTAACTTGATCTTGAATCCAATTTGTAATCTTTTATTATATTTATTTTTATTTTGTTTATTATACAGGGTGAGGGAAAAGTACCGGACCGGTAAAATGTCTCGAAAAATATGGGAGATACGGAAAAATGTTTCAGACGAAAGTTGTACGGTTTTAAAAGGGATATATAATGGTAAAATTAATGTTCCAAAAAATTAATTTTTTATGATTATATGGAGGTCGCCGCCATTTTTTTAAATGGAACTCCCTATTGTTTATTATATGTAAGTCTGACGCCTTATCAAACTTAGTCACTGAGACGCCTTCGTTACTGATTACGTCAGGTACGTGACCAAAGGTGACTGAGAGACACTCCTTATAAACACAGCGCGCGGGCAGCGAGGCATACGCTGGTTAGCCGTCAGGCAGAATAGACGTTCAATAGAATAAAACTTATGTACGGTTAGAACGAGATACCGACAATTGTGTTGATTCAGGTGCGGTATTAGTATTAAGGTAATTGTAGCATTTATAGAAATTGTAAGCATCATTATGCTTTATGTGTTATAAAACAGTAATCACTAGCTGCAACTACACTTGTCGAGTTATTCGTCTCTCCTCTCCGTCGAGTTCATCGAGGCTCTGATTTCGAGACTTACATATACTATTTTATTCTACTAATTAATATGAACAACTTTTGTCTGAAACATTTTTCGATTTGCCTAATACTTTTTGAGATATTCAAGAGAAAATTTATAACTTTTTCAATGTTTAGCTTATAATCTCTCGATAACTGTTTGTCGGAGGGAAAAGTAGTATAGGACTTTTTTACTTGATTTAGTCTCAAGAATATGCTGTTGTAAAAGTGTTCCAATATTGCAACACATAAAATTTACATACACAAAATTTTTCAATAATTGAAACACCATTGCAACAGCATATTCCTGAGACTAAATCAAGTAAAAAAGTCCTGTACTACTGTTCCCTCCGACAAACAGTCATCGAGAGATTATAAACTAAACATTGAAAAAGTTATAAATTTTCTCTTGAATATCTCAAAAAGTATTAGGCAAATCAAAAAATGTTTCAGACAAAAGTTGTTCATATTAATTAGTAGAATAAAATAGTATAATAAACAATAGGGAGTTCTATTTAAAAAAATGGCGGCGACCTCCATATAATCATAAAAAATTAATTTTTTTGGAACATTAATTTTACCATTATATAGCCCTTTTACAACCGTACAACTTTCGTCTGAAACATTTTTCCGTATCTCCCATATTTTTCGAGATATTTTACCGGTCCGGTACTTTTCCCTCACCCTGTATAACTTTCCATATAAATTAATTTTATTTTCTTCTCTGCCAAATTTTCTAACACGTATAACAGCTACATTCAGCACAATACGATCGAATGATTTAAGCGCAAGATGACGTAGAAAATCTATGTTTTTATTATTAATTCACTTCGATACTGATTTAAATTGATTGACTTGACCTGATGTGCAATATTACGAAAGATATCGGTGATATCTCATCTTTAATTTTTTACAGCATAATACGTCATACGACATATTTTATCGCAACTGGAAAGGAGTAACGCAACACCTACCTACAGCGCGACGCCTATACCTCATACATCTGATTTTCCCAAAAATCAAATCGTCGTATCATAATAAAAATATACATGGATATAATTGTCATTTGATGCTCTTAAACTTCTGCGTTGAAAAAATTTTTTTAATTTTTTAAAAATAATGGTGGGGTGGGGGTAAATTAAAAAATTTGACATTGTTGAAAAATGTGATTACGCCATTATGAAGAGTATAAAAAACAATAAAACTTTTGTCTAAAACATTTTTCCATAAAACTTATATTTTCGAAGATATTCGAAAAAAATGAAAAAATCCGTTATTTTCGAGGGGCTGTTTCACCCCCTAAACGTCGAGTAAAGCCGATAAAAAAAATACGGGTCTAATACTTTTTTATGCTCTACAACATATCCAAAGCTCATTGAAATCGGTGAGGGACACTTCCGATCGTTTCCTTGTTAGTTACTTAGTTGTATCAACTACATCAATGTAGTTGTACATGATCTGGTTGTGACAACCAGACTTTGGTTGGAGCATTATTTACTGTGGATATGATAATCTATCCACATTGTTGCGTCAATCAGGATACGTATTGGCACGTAAGGCAGCCGACACGGGACGAATTCTGGTGGGATGGGTGTCCGCCCGCATTGAGGCACTGGAGCCAAGACCGCTCCAGTGCTTCAAGTGCCACGGGTTCGGACACACCAAGCCGCAGTGTAAGGCGGCGGTGGACCGCAGTAGCGCCTGTTTCAGGTGCGGCGTTGCGGGACACAGATCGGCCCAGTGCTCCGAGGCTCCCCGCTGCACACCGTGTGCAGACAGTGGGAAACCCTCGGAACACAGGATGGGCAGTGCGGCATGCGGAAGTGCCGCAGCCCGCAAAAGTGGGAAAACATCGCCCGGGACCGGCCCCGCCCCTCCGAAGAAGAAGAAGAGTAAGACGAAGAAGAAGAGGGGTCGGTCTCGGGCGACCAGCAAGGAGAACGCTTCCTTGGAGGCGGGGGGCAAGACCTTCGGGCCGTCCCTCACGCCTCCGAGGCAACGAGTGGGACCGGTGAGGGGGTCATGGTGGTGTCGATGGAAGTGGACGCCATTCCCCCCACTCTGGCAGTGCAGGAGACGACATCGCCTGTGGGGGCCACTACAAGTCCCCCGAAGGTAACAGACACCCCCACGAACAGCGGGGGTGCGGAAGCAGAGGCGCCGAAGGATTATGCGCCCGCCAGCATGGGGATTCCTTGGGTGGACACACCCGAGACCCCCCGCCGGCAGAAGCAGAAGGGGAGTCTGCTGCCGGGGAAAGGTCCATCCCGGCAGCAGAGGACCTCCCACCTGACGTCCCAATGGACGTCGATGAGGAAGGTCCGCGGGAGGACGCGGCGGGGGTGGTATAATTCACCCCCCGTCGGGTCCTCCTGGTTAACGTCAACCACTCCAGCGCGGCGCAGGACCTTGCGTGGCAGGCCGCGCTGGAGTGGGAGATAGACCTGATGGTGGTCACCGAGCCGTACAGGGTCCCCGCGGGCAGTCACGGGGACCTCGACAGCTCGGTGACCTTTTTTGAGAGAAGATCCACCGACGCACTGCCCCTCGTTCCCCTTGCTAGGGGCCGGGGCTTTGCGCTGGTGGAATGGGAGGGAATCGTCGTGGCCGGAGTTTACGCGCCGCCGCGCCGTTCTCGCCAACAGTTTGAGGACACCCTGGCTGGCCTTGGGGCGGCACTCGGACCGCATAGATCGGCCAGGGGTGTCCTGGTCCTGGGGGACTTCAACGCCTGGTCCACGGACTGGGGTTGTCCCAGGACCGATGTTAGGGGCGAGGACTTGGCAGCCTGGGCGGTGGGGGAAGGCCTACTGTTAATCAACAGTGGGTCGACCCCTACCTGCGTGCGGCCGCAGGGCAGTTCAATCGTGGATATTACGTTCGCGAGCCCTGCGGTTGCGCGACGGATCAGGGACTGGAGGGTGCGGGAGGGGGCGGAGACGCTGTCGGACCATCGTTATATTACGATGGAGCTCTCCGCCCTCCCTCAATTTACCGCCCCCCAGCCCCGCTCAGGGCACGGCGGCAACCGGCCACCCCGCTGGTCGCTTAAGCGGCTGGACGAGGACGCGCTGCTTGCCGCCTCCATCGTCACGGAGTGGTGCAGAGAGGGCACCGCTCCGACAGGGGTGGAAGAGGAGGCAGTCCGCCTGCGTGAGGACATGACTCGTGTCTGTGACACAGCCATGCCTCGCGCGGGTCGGCCACCACCCCGGCATGAAACGTACTGGTGGTCGCAGGAGCTAGCTGAGCTCCGCACGCAGTGCGTGTGTGCGCGACGCCGGTACGTCCGCGCCCGTCGCAGACGACACCGCGACATGGCGATGGAGGAAACCCTGCAGCAGTCCTACGTGCTTGCACGGGGGACGCTGCGGGGCGCTATCGGCAAGGCCAAGGCCCAGGCCTGGGAGGACCTCTTGGGGACCTTAAACAAGGACCCCTGGGGGCGGCACTATAACATCGTGAGGGGGAAGCTCCGCCCGAAGGCGCCTCCACCCAATGAGGTTCTCCCCCCCCCCAGGTGCTGGAGCGGATTGTCACCTCCCTCTTCCCTGATGGGGAGGGGGAGCCCGTTCCAGCGATAGTCGCCCCAGAGGGACAGAGTGTCTCTGATTGGAGCGACGACCTGGGGATCACCGAGGCAGAACTGGGGATGGCCGTCAGGAGGCTACGGGCGAAAAACACCGCCCCTGGGCCGGACGGCATCCCCGGTAAGGCCTGGGTGTTGGCGCTACGCGTCCTCGAGGGCCGTCTCAGGCAGCTGTTTACCGACTGCCTGAGGACGGGACGATTCCCTCGGGAATGGAAGTCGGGCAGGCTCGTCCTCCTCCGAAAGGAGGGAAGGCCGGAAGACTCTCCCTCGGCCTACCGTCCCATTTGCCTCTTGAACGAGGCGGGCAAATTATTCGAACGTGTGCTCGTTGCCCGCCTCAAGAGGCATCTGTCCCGGGTGGGCCCGGATCTGGCGGACTGCCAGTACGGATTCCGCGAGGGCCGCTCGACAGCTGATGCTGTCTTGAGACTTAAGGCCCTCGCGGACCGGGCTGTCTCCGGAGGGGGGTGGCGCTGGCGGTGAGTCTTAACATCGCCAACGCATTCAACACCCTCCCCCCGGGGTGTATACGGCGGGCCCTGGAACGTCACCGGGTCCCGCTGTATATGCGGGAAGTCGTCCGGGACTTCCTGCGGGACAGGAGCGTTACGCTCATGGGACGGGGAGGCGCGCTCACGAGGGAGGTACGACTCGGGGTTCCACAGGGGTCGGTGTTAGGCCCCATGCTGTGGAACCTCGGGTACGATTCGGTCTTCCGAGCGTGGTACCTCAGGGGCCTCCAAGTCATCTGCTACGCAGATGACACGCTAGTGGTAGCCCGTGAGGACGACTGGACGAGCGCTACCCAACTCGCGAGAGACGGTGTGGGCTTAGTCGTTGGATCGAGGGGTTGGGGCTCAGGGTGGCCCTTAGTAAAACCGAGGCCATGTGGTTACATGGTCCTCGGCAGAGGCCACCCAGAATGAGCCTAACCCTTCGGGGGGACACCCCGGTCAGGGTGGAGGTCAAGGGTACAATGAAGTACCTGGGCCTCCTCCTTGACAGCCGATGGCGCTTCGATGCGCACTTTGACCGCCTGGCCGCCAGAGTCAGGGGGGAAGTCGGCATGTTTAGCCGACTTCTCCCCAACATTGGCGGCCCCCTTGACAAGTGCCGCCGCCTCTATTTGGCGGTGGTGCAGTCAATAGTAACGTACGGAGCCCCCGTGTGGTACTCACACCTCGGTGCCAGCCGCCGCCATCGAGAGAAACTCGGTGGCATTCAGCGGCAAATGGCGTTGAGGGCCGCACGGGGGTACTGCACCGTCGCCCTGGAGGCGGCGCGGGTAGTCGCGGGGTCCCTGCCTTGGGACCTCGCGGCGGAGGCTCAGGCGCTGCTGTATTATTGGCGCCAGGGCCTTCGCCAGGAGGAGGGGCGACCACCAGCCCCTCAGGCGGTCATTGCGCAGAAGCGCCATCTCCGGCAGCGCGCCCTCGGCATCTGGCAGCAAAGGTTGCTAGATTGCCGGGCCGGGGCGCGGGCTGTCGGGGCCATCCGCCCGGTCCTCGCAGACTGGGTGGATCGGCGGCACGGGAGAGTCACGTACCATCTGATGCAGGTCCTTACGGGGCATGGTTGCTTCGGGGACTACCTGCATCGGATGGTACAACGAGAGCCGACGACTGAGTGCCACGAATGTGGCGCAGCGGAGGATACGGCGCAGCACACGCTGGAGTTTTGCTCGGCGTTTGATATGCTGCGCCGTTCCCTACAGGAGGTGGTGAGCCATGACCTCTCGCTGCCGGCCATCGTCGTTAAGATGGTTGGCGACGAGGAGGCCTGGTCGGCCATGGTCTCCTTCTGCGACGCTGTCATGTCGCAGAAGGAGGCCGCCGAAAGGGATAGGGAGGCGGATCCTGCCTCCCATCCGATGCGGCGCAGAAGAGGGGGGGCCAGACGGCGCACAGTGTTTCAAATCTCGAAATTTTCGGCGAAATATCAAGCAGATGTCAGATCTGATTAAAACTCCGTATATAAGGGTTTTTGAGGTCGCTGAAAACGAATCCGTAATCCAAATTCCGAAATTCAAAATGGCGGATTCGAAATGACCGACATTTTTGTCAAATTGCCAAAAACTTGTCGGATTCGATTAGAAATCAGTGCGAATAAAACTTTATGATGTAGAGCAGTTCAATTTAGTTTATTATAAACATATAGTTTAGCAAAGTAAGTTATTTAACGAAGGGAGAATTTACTTATAGTCACCAGTAATGATCAAAAAAGGAAGCGGGAGCTTATAGTCAACCCAACTGGGCTTGTCACTTTATTGGTTTAATAAAATGTTTCGACTCTATATTTCGGGTCCTTATCGAGTAGTACTGCAAATTAACAACAAACATAATTATCCAACATTGTAAGTTAGTAGGTAAAATAAATATAAATAAAATATAATATAAAATATAATAAAATACCAATAAATTAAGAGACGAATTATATAATAAATTAAGAAACGAATATAAATTAAGAAGTTAATATGTAAAACGAATATAAATTAAGAAACGAACCTAAGTGAGTCATTGTCGTCACATAAGACAGAGTCGAATTATAAAATACGTGTATACAGGGTGAGTTTTTTATCTTGAGACAACGAAAAATCTCGAGAATTGCACGTCAAATCAAAAAAAGTTTCAGACAAAAGTTGTATGGTTTCGAGGGGGCCATAAGACGGTACCATTGGTTTGACCTTGAAGAATTATTTGAAGGTCACATAAAGGTCACACCAATTTTTATAAATGGCATCCCCTATTTTTTATTACATTTTCTTGTAGCTAACCTCGAGAGCTTTCCAAAACGTTAAAAAAATAGGGGATGCCATTTAAAAAAAATTTGTGTGACCTTTATGTGACC